GTAATCTTATACTGGATTGACTATGGACTGCCAGAAGAACGAATAAATCTGTCTTAGAAGAAGTACTGCTAGAATGCTTCTTAGAAGTGAGAAAGGTGAGCCTTTGTCTCACATACTACTTTGAATTCCTGGTGTGGCCCTGTAGGATGAGCACTGGACTGTGAACCACAAAGTCAGCGGTTCAGACCCACCAGCTGTACCCTGTACAAAGTCGCTGTGGCCCAGAATTGACTTGACGGCACTTAGCAGCAACACCACCACTTTGGCCATGTTATGAGGAGGGACTAGTCCCTAGAGCAGTGTTGTTTTCAATTTTCTTAAATATCTTCCTAACATGACTATGATCATTCTATGTTCTTAAAGAAAATCTATCGAGATTACCTCTTACCATTATTGGCATTTTTAGTGCTCTCAAACCATTCTGATGCATAACGACCTATATAGGGTTTCTGAGGCTGTAAATCTTTTCAGGAGCAGGAAGCCTCATTCTTCTCCCATGGAGAGGCTGCCGGGCTCGAACCACCGACCTTGTGGTTCACAGTTCAGTGCTGATCCTATAATGCCACACTAGGAGTCCAGATTGCCCCTCAGGAGTCACAAGGCTATTTTGACATAGCCTTCAGAGCTGGCTTCTCTGCTTTGAATTTAAGTGACCTAGGAGAGCCTCTCAAAAGCCACTGTTTGGATTGGACCTTGCTCTCTGGACTGTATTGGTAAATCCAAGACTCATCCTTGTTGACAATTAGTTTTGTGTTTTTTGTTTTGAAATCATCCCAGTAGCTTCACTCTTGTTTAAAAGACTGGTGTAAAGATCAGATCTCTGAGCTCTCTGGTCTTTATGCAGCGTTTCTGGTACCCACTGAGCTGAAAACTTGAAGGCCAAGGTGTTTGATTCCATTAAAAATGTCAAATCTTGTGAGATTTATACTTCAGATTTCAAATTCTATGAATTACTTCTGGTAATTAGGTGGTTTCTTATACTAGTTTCTGGACTTAAGCCATAGTTTCCTCATCCACCTAGGTTAACCATCTCTTGGCTCATCTTTGAGGTCTTTCTCAATCGTTCTTAGAATGCTGATCCATCGGAACACTTGTTGGGTTTTTTTTTGTTGGACAAAGCATTCCTGTAAACTTGATGCAAAATGTCAATGATTTGTCAAGATGCCCACCTGAGTTTTGTTGAAAATTTGGTATTAATCATAGTTTTACTCCATGGCACAAAAAGGCATCCTTTTTTTTGAAGACCCCCCCCCTAAGGAGACTGAGACAAGTATATTATTAAAGAACTTGTGGGCAGCCTTCCACTGATCTCCTCTAGAGACATGTTCAAACATGCTTTGTTTGGAATACAGCCATGTCATTAAAAAGACAAAAAAGAAGGAAAAGGTCAAAATACATGTCAGAAGAGACACTGAAACTTGCTCTCTAGTGTAGAGATGCTAAATTAAAGCAAATGGAAGAAATGAGGTACAAGAGCTGAACAGAAAATTTCAAAGATCAGCTCAAGAAAATAAAAGCCAAATATTACAATAAAATGTGCAAAAAAGATCTGGAATCAGAAA